TGTAAAACCATGATTACCAAGGAAATAGGAAGTGCCAATAAATAATACAAAACCACTTTCTATCTTTCATTTTTGACTAAAACCTTTTCTCTCTTAGTTCCTCGGATGCTGCTGGTCTCGTCTGTAGTTCCTGTGGTCCTGTTGCTCCTGCTGGTCTTGTTGGTGGTCTTACTGGTGCTCAGGAGAAGGAGGCAAACACAGCAGGCCCACATCCACACCACAGGTCAGTGCTCACCAAAACAAACAACATATTACATGAATCAGCAGCTTTATTTTGATCATGACATCTAGAAAAATCTGCTCTGCTCTGTTTCAGTGACTCTAAAAACCTGTAATGAAGAAGATGACATCAGTGACGAGGAGAGGATCTATATGAATGTTGAGACACTGAACACCTACAGGAATTTTACCAAACAAACAGGAAGAGCGAAGAGAGAGGAAACATATGAGAAAGAGAGAAAAATGGAAGCAGACGAAGAACAAAGCAGCGGTGATGAAAATGATCATGTATATGTAACACAGATGTTTGCTGAACAAACTGTCGACCTTTATGGAGAACAAGAGGATATTTATCAAAACATTTAGATTTATAAGGATTAACATCGATCCATTCAGATTAACACAGTCAGAATAATATTTAATACATTTTAAGATTGGAAGCTAGAGGCTCCATGATTGATCAGAACATTGCAGCTTTTCTGGCTGGTCATCAGTGTAAATATTATGGGGGGAACTAGTTTATCACAGACTACACATTTTGAATTTCTGTCTTTTAATAATACCCTCTATAAAATGTCCGTGTAGATGAGTTGGTGAAATTATAGTTCAGAATTGGTTTTAGTTAAAAATAATTTCTTTTTAAGCACATAAACACAGTGTGGTGATAAGTATAAGTATTGGCGACTGTCAAGCCTTTGAGTCGCCGAGCAGCTGAATAGGGGAATAATGTTGACGCGCCCGCTGTTTAAAACGTAAGTCAAAGGTTCCAGGTTAAAACTCCTTTATTTGTTATCAAATCCTAAAAATCCGTAGAAAAACAGTGATCAAAACAAACATTCTAAGCTTGAGCGGTCAGCAAAAGTCGACTTC